AGCTGAAGTGCAGAATATGAAGCCATGTCTCTCACCTCAACATTAGTAGTCACATCATACAAACATGCAGCCTCTAAGAATGAAGGCTGGTTTGTGATATGGAGGACAATAGCCAGTATTTTTGACATGCTTTTAACCATCTGACATTTCAATCACTTTATTAATTTCTTACTACACTGACATTTACTTTATTAATTTTTTCCTATACTGAGATCTTAGTTGTCCAATTTCAAAATAAAGGGGAAAATAGCAATGAGTAAGTACCTATCAATAATAACCTTAAATGTAAATGGATTAAATGCTGCAATCAAAAGACATAGTATAGCTGAGTGGATAAAAAAACATGACCCATATATATGCTGTGTACAAGAGAACCACCTCAGAACAAAAGATTTACACAGGCTGAAAATGAAGGGATGGAAAAAAAATACTGCATGCAAATGGAGACAAAAAAAAAAAAAACCCTAGGGTAGCAATACTTGTATCTGACAGTACAGACTTGAAAACAAAAAACATAACAAGAGGCAAAGAAGGTCACTACATAATACTAAAGGGATCAATCCAACAAGAGGACATTACCCTTGTGAACATACGTGTGTCCCATATAGGAGCATCCAAATATATAAAGAAAAATATTGGAGGACTTTAAGAAAGAGATCAAAAGCAATACAGTCATTGTAGGGAATTTTAACACCCCCATTTCACCAGTGGATAGATCTTTCAGACAAAAAATCACTAAGGAAACAGCTGACACAATAGACTGAATGGATTTAATTGATATTTACAAAACATTTCATCCCAAAGCAACATAATACATATTCTTCTCCAGTGCACATGGATCATTCTCAAAGACAGGCCACACAGTAGGACACAAAATAAGTCTTAAGAAATTCAAGAAAACTGAAATCATATCAAGCATTTTCTCAGATCACAATGGCTTAAAACTAGAAATCAACCTCAATAAAAAATGCTAAAATAATCAAATACATGGAGGCTAAAGAACATGTTACTAAATAATAAATGGGTTTAACAATGAGATCAAGGAAGAAATCAAAAAGTACCTGGAAACAAATGAAAATGAACATACAACAACTCAAACCTATGGGACACAGCAAAATCAGTCCTGAGAGGGAAATTCATAGCATTACGTGCCTACCTAAAGAAGATAGAAAAATCTCATATAAACAATCCAACTCTACTTCTAAAAGAACTAGAAAACAACAACAAAGCCCAGAATTAGTAAAAGGAAACAATCAAGATCAGAGCAGAAATAAATGACATAGAGACTAAAAAAAACAGTTCTCAAGATCAATAAATCCAGGAGCTGGTTCTTTGAAAAGATAAACAAAACTGATGAACCTTTAACCAGACTCATCAAGAAAAAAAAAGAGGAAGGACCCAAATAAATAAAATCAGAGATGAAAGAGGAGAAGTAATAACTGGTACCACAGAAATAGGAAAGATTGTAAGAAAATACTATGAACAACTATATAACAAGAAATAGGACAACCTGGGCTAAATGGATAAATTTTGAGAAACGTACATTCTTCCAAAACTAAATCAGGAGTAAGCAGAAAACATGAACATAGACTGACAACAACTAAGGAAATTGAAGCAGTAATGAAAAAACTCCTGAGGACATACAGATGCTCCATAGATTTATGAAAAAAAATGCTCAACATCATTAGCCATCAGAGAGATGCAAATTAAAACCACAATGATGGGGATGGGGGGAGGGGTGGGGAGAAAATACAGGCAACTGTAACTGAACAACAATAAAATAATTTAAATTAAAAATAAACAAATACATAACATCTTTTTTAAAAGGCAAACAGTAAATAAAAACTGAAACCACAATGAGATAACACCTCACACCTGACAAAATCATTATCATTAATAAATCAACACACAAGTGCTATCGAGGATGCAGAGAAAAGGGAACCCTAGCTGTGCACTGTTGGTGAAAATGCAGCCACTATGGAAAACAGTATGGAATTTCCACAGAAAATTAAAAATGGAATTGCCTTTTGATCCAGCCATTCCACTGCTGGAAATATACCCTAAGAATCCTGAAGTACTAATTCAAAAGAATACACGTACCCCTATGTTCATAGCAGCCCTATTTACAATAGCCAAGACTTGGAAACAGCCTAAATGCCCATCAGGAGATGAGTGGATAAAAAAAGCTATGGTACATTTACGCAATGGAATACTACACAGCAGTAAAAAAGAACGAATTCTTACCTTGTATAACAGCATGGATGGAACTGGAGACTATTATACTAAGTGAAATAAGCCAGTGGGTGAAAGATAAATACCATATGATCTCACCTATAAGTAGAATTTAATGAACAAAATAAACTAATAAGCAAAACAAAACCAGAGGCATAGAATCATGGAACAGGCTGATAGCTGCAAGAGAGGAGGGGAAAGGGGGCACTGGTTGAAAAAAGGTGAAGGGATTAGTCAAAGAACATATATGCATGATCCATGGACATGGACAATGATATGGGGATTGACTGTGTGAGTGGGAGGGACGGGCTGGATGGAGGTGAACAAAAGGGAAAAAATTCAGACAACTGTAACAGCATAAACAATAAAATACTTAAATTTAAAAAATCAAAAAAGAAAAAATATAAATAAAGAGTATTCCATTAACTGATCAGGAAGCAATTATGATACATTGCTACCAATATACATGAAATTCTAAAAATAATTGGGAGAGGTGTTGAGGGGAGAGCAGAGGTGTGAAAAAGTGGTTTCTTTCTGAGATTTTGGAGGCCCAGCTTCTTCATCCTATTCCCACAAAAATACTTTACTGCAGATACCTCAAATATTATTCCAGAGTTACACAAAATAAGTGGAACATCACCAAGTAGAGCTCCTAGAGTAGGTGTTCTGAACATGTTGGTAAAGAAAGTCACTTCATTTGAGAGATCTCTGCCCCTTCAACCTCACCCTCCTTACCAATATACATTCATCACTGAAAAGGGAAATATTTACAAAAGTTAGTTTAGTTATGTTTAAATATTATGTTTAGCTGTCTGGAGACCATGTTCTCAAAATTTATATAAGAAATCAAGGATTAGACTTCATAACAATTAGAAAACCACACTGTATAAAATCAAAGACTTAGTTAAAGGACATTAAAATAGCTTTGCCATTGGTGCTAAATTGAAATGACTCCATCTCTTCCCAACACCTGGAAACAAAACCTTTTGAACTTTCATGTAAACACACCAGAGTACACCAAATGCTCTGTCTGCTGCAAGGTACCACCTCTGCAAAGGCATTTGGGTGAAAAATGTGGAAAATGCCTGAGGACTCTTTGAAGCAGCTTGGGAGAAGTGAGAGCAGGAAAGAGGCTCTTCACTAGGGTAAGTTTGTTTAGTGGAAAGTAAGCAAGTTGTCAGGGTAAAAGTTGACAATGTTGATTCCAACAGTTTGAACTGTGAATAAACATCCAAAGGGATTATGTTACTGAGAATTAGAAAAGATTCCATTGAACTCAATAGAACACTTGTGTTTTCGAAGATAATATGCCTTTGAGCCACACTCTGGATCCACAGTTTAGGGTTAGAATTACCCTAAGCCCTTTCTATGCCACATTAAAGAAGATAAGGTCTGACCTCTCTAATATGTGCTTAAAATATTAAAATAAGGATGGAATAAAAATATTTCACTTCCAATAACTGATTTGGAAAACATTAAAAATATGTACATTTGTATATTTGAGGTCCAGAAATCCGTTCTACCCAAACATCTAAATTAAACACAGTTTCACTAACCAATTTAGGGAAATACATGCATTGGCTATAAATCACTTTTAAGTTTTCCCTCTTAAATGACCTATCAGAGAGCAAAAAACAGGGCCTATACTTACAAAATCCATAATCCTCTTTTCTGCTCACCAAAGCCACATTAAATTTAGCTTTCATCTCATGGTGTTGGGTTTTCCACCAGGTACAAGATGAGAAATTGAAAAAGACTTGTGCTTTTTAAAAAGCAAAACAATTTGGTTGCCACTCAGCAATTCCTAGTGAAATGCCAAGAAGCTGTAAAAAAACAAGTTAAAATTTTCCTAACTTGGACCTAACAAAAATAAGTGTGAGATGTTTATAGCCTGTCAGACAGTCCATCTTTTTATTTCTTAAATATTCATAAACAAGAGAAAATATACACTTTTGATTTGTTAAAGTTTATTTGGATCGATGTAATGCAGGTGCGCCTTGCATGCCCTCAAGAAAATAGAGGCAACTTGAACTGCTCGCTAGTTCATCTCAAGTCCTTCATGATTCTCATATTAGAGAGTTTGCTATTAGAATTGTTTTCAAAGCTTGACTAAGGCATGCAACTCACATGTTCTTTACCAGCAAAGTTTGCAGGCAACCCTGCAAAAAGTTGTTTCTCCTTTGAGCTCTCACACATATTCACTTCCCTCCTAGAACCAAGGATATAAGGAAGAATGGCTCCATTTCATAGCCTTTTTCGCCCTTAGAAAGAAAATCCAATTCCCCAGATATTTTCAAACTCCACCACGAACAGAACATTCTCAACTCTGCCTGTGGGTCATTATCTCTTTTTCATTTCATCTTTATATTCACTGGGTTCATAGAAAGGACATACACAGAAAGAGGAAAATAGCTGCTTCTTAGACACCAAATTTAGTAATTCTCTCAAAATCTACTGGCACACATCTAAAAAGTCGTATTTTTATAAGGCTTCATTAGGTTTTCATTGGTTCTGTCTTTTAAGAACACACATGCTGAATTGCCCATAACCTCAAGCCAAAATACATCTGCAAACTACAAGAAATGTTTTTTATAGGAAGACAAGAGTCATCACAATTTTTTTTAAAAGGGGGGATATAGTAAGCAAAGACAGACAGATGTGAGCTCATCTGGCTCCCACTTTAGTATCTCCCGAGCATCAAGTTGCTAGCTGATGGAAGCCATCAATCTATGGTACTCTAAGATTCCAGCTGACTCTAATAGCCTTACCTGTTAATATGAGATTACTGTAAGTATTGGAGAATTGTTCCTTTAGAAGAACCAGATGCATCTGAGCTGCCTTCTCCCGTTGGAGCTCCAGCATAACATCAGGGTGCTGGGCAATCTTGCAGCCCTTCTGTTTATCCAAGGCAACATCACTTCGAACAATGTCTACAATAAGAAAGAAAAAAGGCAGGCAGCACAACTGAAAAGCAAAAAGAACATTTAAAAAATAAACAAACAAAACCATACACACATCAAAGTCCTGTTTCATCCCCAAACAACAGTTTATAAACTACACATATTTTAATGAGAATGAAGAAATTCAAAAGTCATAAACCTAAGGGTCTCCAACTTCATGATACAACCTGCAAGTTTCTCTCATCATGTCCATATTCTTTGAAGATGTTTTTGGTTCTTATCTCTCTCTGACCTCATTTAAGATTCTTACTATTCCATTCCCTTCTAAACTCACTTCTAGTACTTATTTACCTTCTCGGGCCTTTTCTTAACATCCTTTTAGCATTCTCCATGGGGAAAAATAATACAACTTGGTCTGAGTACTAGTGACTATGAAAGTCATTTCATCTGCTTCATGCCATAGGGACAGGTGACAGCTCCAGCATGTGTATTCAGGATGTTTGGCCTGTCTTCAAATTTACCTCCCAGCCAGCCAACTCAGCTAAAACTAGGGCTGCTGTTCTATGGGTTAGTTACTCAGAATTTCTCCTGCTATTTTTTCTTATGTCTCTGGTTACATTCTGACTTAGTAACCAATCTTTAAATCTAGAAATATTTTGTGAGTCACTAAAGAAGCAAGATTAGAGCTATAGTTACTTTTCAGATCTTCCTCTTTCCCAGTTATTTTCCCCTTAATGATAGGCTGTTTTTTATACTTTTCATACAGTATGATTTCCACTCAAAGAAGTCTCCAGAAAACAACCTTCCTCAAAAACATTGACCTAGAATGCATCCCAATTACCAGGGAGCTTACATGCCCTAAAGTTGTTTGTTTTATTTTTACAAATTAAAATAGAATTCAGCTGATTATCATAGAAACAAATACTATCAATAGCAATTGGATGACAACTCTAGAAACTTTCAAGTTTTACAAAGCAAACTAAAGGATTTCAGAAGAAAATTGTAAAAAGTAACTGCTCTGCCACTGTTGACACCAGTGGCTTTGGAAGGGGAAAAAAAATGAATATCCATGTTGATGGCACCAGTAGAAAGATTTGGCTCTTTAAGCAATGCTCAATGATAATTAAGAAAAAAATGGGCATGTGGCCATAAAGAGCAGAATATTGTTGTGGACAAATAATCTTCAAATCCATGAATAAAACCCTAAAAGAGAAGCCCAGATAGAAATAACAACCCATGACAATGAGGGTTAGAATGTGTGGTGCACAAATAGCCAGATGTGGGAATGGTCCTCACTCATTCTTATGTAAAAGAAAGGGGGAGCTGGTTGGAAATAATGCAATATTTATGCCTAGACATATTTGTACCAAGTTCTAGAATGTGGGCAATAAAGTGAACTCATTCAACATTCAAGTAACTAATCTTATAGATTTTTTTGAGGCTTGAATACAAAATTAGAATAAATTAATTCAAGGATACACTCTAGTTTTCAAGACCAACAATAGAAGGCAAGAGGAATAATATAATTTACACTTATTTAAATAACACTCTATTAGCCCTGGCTGGAGTGGCTCAGTGGATTGAGTGCTGGCCTGCGGACCAAAGGGTCACTGGTTCAATTCCCAGACAGGGCCCATACCTAGATTATGGGCCAGGTCCCCAGTAGTGGGCATGTAAGATGCAACTACACATTGATGTTTCTCTCTCTCTCTTTCTCCTTCCCTTCCCCTCTCTAAAAATAAATAAAATCTTTTAAAAAATTACACTCTATTGACTTTTTAATTACATTGTATCACTGAATCCTTCAAATAATCCTATGAAATTACGTGGCAGATATTGTTGACTTGCTGACACAAACCTAAATATGCTCCCTTATCTTTTGCCTTCCACTACTGAAGATACTGAAAAGCTAAAATATAAAATTTCCCAGCTTTCCTTGAAGCAAGGGGTGGCCATGTAACATGGTTCTGGTCAATAAGCTGCAGGCAGACATCCATGGTGGGGGGACTTCCTTTGTCAACTTAAAAGATAAAACCTCACTAAGAGAAATCAGGCATGTCTTTTTTACTTTCATCCTTTTAGTCCTTTCTATTCTTTATGTCTGAAACATAGACATGAGGCCTAGAGTTAGAGTAGCCATTTTGTTTCAATGAGTCAAGAAGCAAGAGGGCAAATGACTCCATACTAAGGATCTGGAACAGAAAGATGGGACAAGCCTAAGTCCCCAATGTCTTTATTGAGCTATCATACCTACCATAGTTGTTCTAAACTGTCCAACTCTCAATTTCTCGTTATGTAAATAAAGGAACTATTTGTATAAACCATAAATAGTCAGTTACCTATTTTTAAAATTGTAATCTTTTTTTAATCTTAAGTGATAAAGAATAATATGATTATCCCTATTGTATATATGAGGAAACTGAGGTCCACAAAGCTGAAGTGGACCTCAGGTTCACAAAGCATGGTCAGTCCCCAAATCCAAATCCAATGATCTTTCCAGAAGTTATTCCTATATGGAAACTCATGAACTTAGTGCTAAAGTACAATATGCAATAAAAGTGAGGAACTAAAAAGAAAAATCTAACTATACTATTACAGTAGCATGCTATAGTCTATCCAGAAAAGAAATATGGATACTTCCCCAGAAAACAATACAAAATTTGTTTTTTAAAAAAGTGGAGCTTCCTGGCTGGCATAGCTCAGTGGATTGAGCGCGGGCTGCGAACCAAAGTGTCGCAGGTTCAATTCCCAGTCAGGGTACATGCCTGGGTTGCAGGCCATGACCCCCAGCAACTGCACATTGATGTTTCTCTCTCTCTCTTTCTCCCTCCCTTCCCTCTCTAAAAATAAATAAATAAAATCTTTAAAAAAAAAGTGGAGCTTCAAATTACCCCAATATCTTCTGACAGAAGATATACAAAAAGCAGAACACCTATGAAACTCTTTAATTCCTATCCAATAAATTTATTGCTCAGAAGGGAGAGGAAGCCTGATATTCTCAAGACCTTCAATGAGAACCTTGAAATAAAGTGACCATATTATCTTAATAATACTAAGAAAAGAAAATCACATGCATGGCCAAACATATGTCCTAGACTTTTAAAAAGTACATTTCAAAAATGGGAAAAAATAGATATGCTATTTTTTATTCGTCCTTAATTTGTTTGGGATTGTATCAAAGACTAAACACAAAGCAAGAACACTAATTAAAGATGCACATGTCCCTGGCCAGTGTGGTTCAGTTGGTTGGAGCGTAATCCCATAACCAAAAGGTTGCGGGTTCAATTCCTCATCAGAACACATATCTATGTTGAGGGTTTAATCTCCAGTCCAACATACAACCCCCTTCCTGGTGCATACCAGAGGCAACTGATCAATGCTTCTCTATTGTATCAGTGTTTCTCTTTTCCCTCTCTCCTTCCCTCTCTCTTCCCTTCTCCCTTCCTCTCTTTCTAAAAGCAACGAAAAAAAAGGCCTTCAAAAAAAAAAAGGACTTCAGTGAGGATAAAAGTGCACATGGTCATATATCCGGAGGAGGAGTTAGCATCATACATGATAGGATCAAAATGCAAAATTATTTTGGCAGCCTAGAAACTTAGAATGAAATCCCCAACATGTAGTTAAGATATGAACACAAAGTCCTGCATTTATACTGAAAATTAATTGCATAAGATAATATGGGAAGGCCAGACCAGATGGAAGCTCAAATATTAAAGATCTTATTAAGATTTGTAGGTTTTAGTTCACTGCAAGCTTAATACAAGCCAAATATGATATTGTTACCAAAAAGATTAATGCAGTCTTAGACTAAATTAATAGAACCAGAACATCCAGAATTCACGAGGTAACACAGCCACACTGCTTTCCATGCCAACCAAGGGCAGCAGAGTGAAGAGTTGGAGCTAGGCAGACCTCAGTTCAAATTCTGATTTGCTGTTTATTTATTAGTTGCAGAAGTGACAGACAAAAATACCTCTACAAGCCTCAATTTTTTCATCTATTGTTGTTATGAAGAGACATATGAGACTTAGCACTATGCATGCTACTTAATAAGATTTCTATAAAAGGTAACTATTATGATTTTTGTTTTAGTATCCAACTTGTGGTATTATATTTATTTTCAGTTGTTAATAGTCCTGGTAGGATACTAATCATCTGGATAGCATCCAAAGAAAAGCAACAAGATGAATATTTTATTTTTTTTAATGGTTGAAAAAATTAAGAGTGTCAAACCTGGTAAAGAAAATACAAAAGAAAAGTTGTTTTCATAGAGAAGAGACAACTGACTTGTTCCATGTAAATCTCAAAAATCAAACATTATGGGAATAACCAAAAAACATACCTTCAGCTCCACATGAGAAAACTGTAACAACAGAAGCAGCGATATGAGAAAAAGAGCTACTTGAGAATGGAGTGAGTTTCCTGTTCCTAGAAATAGTCAAGCTGACACTGGATGACACAGGCACAATAAAATGATTTCAATATAGTCATCAAAGCCTGCCAAGTACAAAGTTAAGTACTTTCTCTGACATTATGTGAGGCAATATAATATATAGTTGAAGGCACAGGCCTTGTATTCAAACAGATACACATTAAGAAAATGAAAAGAAACAAGAAAATCCCAAGTAAACAACTTAACATTATATTTTAAAGAACTAGAAAAAGAAGAATGAAAGCAGCCCAAAGTCAGCAGAAGAAAGGGAGTAATAAAAATTGGAGCAGAATTGAATGAAATAGAGAACAAAAAGACTATACAAAACCTTAATACAACCAAGAGCTGGTTCTTTGAAAGATTAATAAAAACAACAAACCCCTGGTTAGACCCACTAAGGAAAAAAGAGAAAAGACTCATATAAACATAACAAGAAATGAAAGAGAAGTTACCACAGACATCCCAGAAATATAAAAGATCATACTAGAACACTAGTATGCCACCAAATTACTTCAATAACCTAGAAGAAATGGTTAAGTTCCTAGAAATACATAACCTTCCTAAACTGAATCATGAAGAACTGGAAAATCTAAATAGA